CYWAAACTTGACAGAAAAAAATTGCTTATCATGCAGTTCTCACGGCAAAAATGTGATGCGTTTTAGAAAACTTAAGCACTGGTCTTTGAACTCGGCCCAAATACCTGCTTCATTGCGATCGTAAGCAATATGAATAATTAACATCACACGTAAAGGTGTTCAACACCAGTGACGGAAGCCAGGGAACATAGAATTTTCTTTCTTTCCTGCCTTTTTTATTTCTACAAAAGTCGTATGCCTAACATCAAAACATCCCTCGCAATCGACGAAAAACGAATTTTAAAGTTTTAAAAGTTCAAACCCCATTAGGATCCAAAATTTGAAATGTAATTTCTGGAGTTTCTCGTTGTTATTCCTTATATCCAGACTTTCTTAAATGATTCAAGGAAATTGTAGTATTCCGCTGGCAAAACATCCCTCCCAGCCAAGCAGTGTTCTAAGTAATCTCTGTGTGGAACTAAGCCCTCTTGATAAAACTGCTCTGTTACGATATATGTTGTCGCATCCACTTTTTCTCCAGCAGAATTCTCAACCGTCACTCGTTCTCGACGATACCAACCATCTGAGACTTTTTCAAAGACATCCAGTTTGTCTAACCCTCCAGCGTTAAGAGTGTACAATACTCCATGGACGACTGAATCTTTCACTGGTCTAACATTACAAGCGCCACCCCCATCCGGTCTCCTAAAAGAGAAAGTCATTTTGTAGTCGAGTAACTTTGCTCCAACTCGATCGGTGAAGAAGGCTTTACGATACCGCATACGGTCCGGGTTCATGTTCGAACCGAAAGCGAAGTACATCTCTTTGTCTGTCATGGAGTCGTTGAGGTTTCTTCAGAAAGGAAGTCGAGCGGATAAAGAAGACAAGATAGCCTGCTCTCGTGCACAGAGATCGCCGAAAACGTGCCTTGTAAGCGAAAGTAGAGAACAACCGGACGCAACGAGGCACTTCCGCTTGTGCGGAATACCGGGAAAGACTGGAAATAGGTTCCGTCAGCAAAACATAAAATTAGCCGGGGGGTGGGGTGTAGACCGGAAATATTGTTTCCGCTTTTCTTTGTACAGTAATTAATTTAAAATAGTTTGCAAATCAGCAGAAAAGCTAAAGCCTGTATGGCGAACGGAGTTTTAAGAATTCAATAGACCGCTTTTGCAGTCTTCATCCCTTTAAACTTTTTAAAACCACGAATTGAACAGGCTGGCCTCCTTCCATGAAGAAATCTTCCCTGTTCAGAATTTTTCGTCCGGGGGAGGGGATGGGTACGTTTTCACTAACAAACGGACGACCTTTGTAATGTTGTCATCTGCCGGCTTTATTTCCATAACTTGATACACATCAGCAAGTAAGTTAAGGAAAATTCGGTCTGAAGGGTTCTAGTAAAAAATCGTGACTAGATGGCCTTGAAAAGATCGCTGGCCTGGACTGGCTCCTTTAGAATGTCAAAGAACTCATTGACGCTGTTGATCATCGTCAAAGCCAAGAGAAACAATGGAGTTTGTTACGTCGGCTTGGATCTGGAGCAGGGTAAATTTATAAGGCCTACGTTGAGGAAACGTACTTCCGCCTGGCTTCCTAAAGATCCCGATCTTCAGATCGGAGAGGTACACCTTTTCGAAAAAAACCGCGATCTTCTTCAAATCTCACATCCTCATCTGCAAGATAATGTATTTGTAAATTACCTCGGTGCGGCAGGAAGCTCCGATGTGCAACTAAGGGAAAAGGCCCTGGGAACGAGGTTGTCCGATGTGGGCATGTTCGACATTCTCGTAGAATATAGTCATCAGACTATTAAAGAAGTGTTTGGAAACAGGGAGGAATTTAACGGCGAGTACTTTCACGAACACACTCGGTGCCCGTCTGTTGGTATATACAGATGCACAAGAAAAAACTTAAATACTCTGTTTGACTCCGATCGAAGCCAACGAAGATGCGAAATAATAGAAGATGGGCGTCAGAAGCCATTTATTTTCCTGATCACTGCCATCAACGACGCGCTTCCAGCTGTTGCTGATGAAGAAGATGTGTTGGTGATACTTGGATTAGGGAAACCCTATCGAGGCTCGTCCTGTCAGTACCAACACTGGCGATGTTATATCTTAGTCATAGGGTTTGTATCTCGCTGAACACAATTGATATTCAAAGAGAAAAAAAAACAAATTCAGTCAGAAAGTCAATACGGTTGTTAGTTAAGGCCGACGGATTCCACGCCATTTGTCATCCCAATGCAAAAGCTTGTTTTCCGATCCGGGGATAAAGAGAAAACTTGAAACGGACTATATACACTCGTGGAAAACAAATTGAGCAGGTATCGACGGGAAAATTCGGTACACTAAACAAATTAAATTGTAGTTAAAAAGAATATTCACGATACGCGATCTTACTGATATACAAATCGCACACGAATTACGCGCGAATGGGACTAATTTTGAAACAAATGAGCCTTAATTATGAAAGAGAAAGCTTGACATGAAATAGACTGGTGGAAATAAACTGAGTATGCTTGAATAGAAGATATAGAAGCTCTAAATTCAAGATGCTTTCGGTATCAGTTTGTACTGCACGCTGAATGGCTGACACATTTATGATAATTAGCCGTATCTGCTTACTGTAGAGGAACTATGTCTGATTCTCTTCTCTGGATAAATTATTAACAATCTGATATTTACCGCGCCTTATTCTGACTTATTCAGCTGATTTTTACGAAGACTGTGCCCATATTTGCAAACGAAAGACCATTTTTGTCTGTAGCTCAAAAGAGGCCTCATCGAGAAAGAATTGCATCATTGATATTCATTTTAAGTATTGAGCCTAAAACTATTTAAATTAATGAAATCTTAAATGAAATCTAAAACTTCATGAATACTTCCAACTGATTCTATAACGTGTTTGAATAATACTTCAAAACCGAATGGTTCTAATTAACTATAATTTCCCACCAGTTTGCGACATAAATGTGAACTAACAATATGTCTTTTCTTGGAATTTTAAGCGACACTTCATTTTTCCAACTGACCTGCAATTCTTATATTCCAGTTGGCGTTTGCATGAATTTCAGCTGATTTTGTCGTCTGTTTCTTTATCTGTTTTTATCTTTATATCTATTCATAGTTAATAGAGGGGACTGGTTAGGAGACCCGGCGAACATCAAAGGAGTATCTCTTTGTTTTCGTTTTGGCCCTATGACGTCACCACGAGAGTGCACAGTCAACCAGCTGAATAGAGAGCGCATGGGGAAGACATTGACAAGAAGTATTACTTTACGTAGATTTTTGATTACATGGAGATAATTATTGGAGTTTTAACTATATAGTTTTATAATATACCATGCCAGGCCGAAACTGTGCGGTCTTTGGCTGTGGATCGTGGAGGCGGACCAAAGGAATTGGATTTTGGAAACTGCCAAAAGCAGACGACACGAAACATCGCGAAAGGCGCGAATCTTGGCTCGGAAAACTCAAGAAAACTCGGGTAATTGACTCCAATTTTAGGGAGCAAATCAAGAACGATCGAGTCTACACTTGCGAGAAGCATTTTTCACCCGAAGAATTCGAGATGTGTGAGTATTATTGTCTACATTTTATGTCTCTGGGATCTGTTTACATCAGACTCCACTGTCAGTACGTCATCATCATCATCATCATCATAGTTTATTTAATAAGGCAGGTTGAGGGATAGGCAAGACATTACGTCCTGATGTGGACCTGCATCAATTAAACTATCAATTAATAAATACCTAATTAGTGAATAGACCGAAAATGGGTATGTAAATAATGACAATTGAAAGAAATAAATATTAATAACAATACGGAGTAAATGTTAAAAGTATTTAAAGTCAACAGATTTGTTGGAAACGCTGCAGGAAGCTTTAGCAAAACTGATAGATTTCAGAATTCTCTTATTTTCCCTTAGTTTTCTCTTGAAAGAAGTTAAGTTTGAACTGTTCTTCATGTCTTCGGGAAGGAGGTTCCAGGATAGTGCAGCTCTGTGCTTAAACGAAGATCTTCCCATTTCTGTTCTTGGTCTATGAACCTTAACTTTTAGGGATTTTCTTAAGTCATAAGGAGTCTCGGATTTCACTATTAAGTCATTTAGAGGCTCGATGCTATTTCCATGATAGATATTGTACGTAATAACTAAAAGTCTCCTGATGTAAAATGAAACAATAGAGTTTCAGTGTGGAGAATTCATGATGTCATCACTGTGGATGCTATGGGGTAGGTTGTAAATAATTCTAATAGCTCTTAAATGAATTCGATCAATATAATCCGTCAAGGTTGAAGAACAAGACCCCCAGACCCCTCTATTAACTATGATCTATTTCATCGTCCAATTTCTTTTAGCTGTTGCTATTTCGAAACCTGCGAACACAGATTTCTGCTTAACTTTTACTTTCTAACACAAATTTCGAGGTGAGGAAGCAAATAACACTTAATTACACACTTCGGCTCCAGCCGTCCGTGAGTGCAGCGGCTATCTCTTAGGAGCTCGAGAGCATGTTAATTCAGCGAATCAATACCATTTTCGATTAAATTACACTCAGTTCAACGGATAGAAAGCAGTCGATTTCCTCTCCCTGCCCTCCCCTCCTTCCTCCCTCCCTATCTATAAATTGATCAATTATTATTATTATTAATTATTATCTCATTGTTATGTCTTTGTGGGAAGAGAAATGACTATGACTGATTAAGAATATTTTTGCTCTTTCGTTTTCGCTATAACCATTGCGTTGTGACTACGCTTTTCCGTTTTCATCAGTCATTCAATAGGATGTTTGTGTTTTGTTTTTGTTTTTTTCTTCATCATCTGGCAACTTTATAAGTGACATCGCGTTAACAGCTATCTCATAAGGAGAGATGCTTTGTAAGAAGGTTTGATTATGTTTCGGTCATGATCCAAATTAGAGTAATGTTGGACAGCTAGATAAAAGTGCTTTCTGCTAACCCGTTAAAAAAAAAATATATCTTTTACAAATTTGATTAGTTCATTAATCGTAAAGCACTAGTTGTTTAAACAAGAAATGAAACCAAGCTTTTGATCCATTTCGTAAAATTCATACCAGACAAGCGGTAACGGTCATTATTCCATGCCATTAGCAAAGGAATGACCGCTAGCAGAGATCGAAGTTTGATTATAACTGTATTGTTAACCCGTCCCTACCCGTGGAAAGTATGAGTAATAATTTATTCCGAAAACATCGCACCTTGCCGTTCAGGTCATGTGGTCGCTATAAGTTTAAAATATACTTCAAATCTTTCGACTTGCTAATGGATGAGACATTTCCCTTTTGGTCACGGTTTTCGGTTTTCACGTAAACTCTGATGCGGTTTTCAGTTTTTTCCTTTTTGACCCCTTTAAAGGTGAAAGCGTAGCGGATTTGTCAGGTTTGCGTGCGGTATTCGGTTTTGCTGCCTTTTTTCGTCGGTTTTTCGGTTTTGGAGGTTTTTTTCTCCGGTTTTGCGGTTTCCAAGAGGCCCCAATGCCCCCCTCATGATCATGTAGCGCTGGCAAGAAAAATAAAATTCCACGACAAATCCAAATTGGTAGGAGTCTTGTTGACTTTGATTGCCTCAGCAATAGATGTAGCACCGGCAACAGCAATAAAATTAATATTCCAAAACAAATCCAAATTGGCAAGACTCTTCTTGCATTTGAAACCTTAGCAATAGATGTGGCACCGGCATCAACAATAAAATTACCACATAAATTCAAATTGGTCAGAGTCTTATTGACTTCGACTGCCTCAGCAATAGATGTAGCACCAACGACACCAATAAAATTCTTAGACAAATTCAAGTTGGTCAGTGTCTTGTTGACTTTGATTGCCTCAGCAATAAATGTAGCACCGGCAGCACCAATAAAATTCCAAGACAAATCTAAATCGGTAGGAGTCTTGTTGACTTTGATTGCCTCAGCAATAGATGTAGCACCGGCAACAGCAATAAAATTAATATTCCAAAACAAATCCAAATTGGCAAGACTCTTCTTGCATTTGAAACCTTAGCAATAGATGTGGCACCGGCATCAACAATAAAATTACCACATAAATTCAAATTGGTCAGAGTCTTATTGACTTCGACTGCCTCAGCAATAGATGTAGCACCAACAACACCAATAAAATTCTTAGACAAATTCAAGTTGGTCAGTGTCTTGTTGACTTTGATTGCCTCAGCAATTGATGTAGCACCGGTATCACTAATTTCGTTCGCAGACAAATCCAAATTGGTCAGAGTCTTGTTGACTTTGATTGCCTCAGCAATTGATGTAGCACCGGCAAGAGCAAAAGAATTCCCCGACAAATCTAAATTGGTCAGGTTCAAACCAGATCCAAAACATTTTGCTAACTGTGAGGAAAAATCTCTTTCTCTTTTACTTTCGCTAATTACCTCTAATATAACGGTTGCACCGTTGCCTTCATATTTGTTGACTTGGTTTGTTAAACTGTTCACAAGAGCCACAACGTGTTCATCGCATTGCAAGGCTAAAATTCCGCATAAAAACAAAAGTACTTGTTTAAGTTTACCGAAATACCTTTCGTCGGAAACTAGTTCTTCAGGTGTGATTTCCTCACTTTGGATCTGAGAACAAATAAAGAATGCTGCAAAGCATTCTTGAAAACTTTTATGAAGGAAAGCATAATGCACTTTTGGTTTCAATTTGCTGCCACCAGGCTGCATTGAGAGAAATCCAAATGCAGTCAAGTCTTTTGCATGGTTTCCCAATTCGCTTTCATCAAAATCCAATCTGTCGTTCAGTAAACCCTTCAAAGCTACCAGCCCGAGGCGATTCAATTGCGGTTTGTAAAGGTTTGTCAGATCAGCATTCACTTTTGATTGTCCTCTCTTTTCTTCATATCTTTTCAAAACACATTCAACCATATCCAAGTACAGCTGAGCTTTGTTTTCAGGGAGTGTACCATCAAACTCTTCGCATAAAAGGCAAAGAAGTGCTGTGTTTAGAGGATTGGCTGCCATTTCTCTCAGGTTTTTATCGCGCCTCGTCCGTTCCAAGAGCTTCGTGGCTAAACCCAGCCTATCTTTAAAGTATTTGATGACAAAATTGTCAACATGTTCCTCAGTGAATCCTTCGATCTCGAGCAGCGTGTCACAGTTTTTTCTCACCTTTTTTCCAACTTCGTGTCTCGCTGTTGCAACTATGCGGCAGTTGGGAAGTACCCTTCCTTCAATTAATTCCGAAAACATTGGCAACTTTCCGGAAGACAACTCATCCAATCCATCTAGTATCAACAAAGTGCTGGACTGATTTTCATGGATAAACTGAAAGAACTGTTGTTTGACTTTTTCATCGATATCTCGGGGCAGAAGCTGATCTTTAATGGCCTCCCAAACATCAGAATGGATATCTCGACATTTCAGCAACAACACTGCTTTGAATGTTGTTAGGCAGCATCGCTGAGGTTCCTGCTTCCTTGTGGCCCAGTCGTAGACGTACTTTTTGCAGTAGGTGGTTTTTCCCATACCGGGATCCCCTTCAATCAACACTGTTCTCGGCGCTGAACACTGCTCATTTGGGTCCAGTATAGACGACATGTCAACAAACATGTCGGTGACTTCTCCTCTCGTTTTCTTTCTTCTGACCACTTTGAGCCTTGTAAAAATATTGCCAAGAAAAAACTGAAACTCTTCACACCATGGAAACGGTGAAAGCCATCCCTCGCGAGTCTTGTAGAGCTGGCAAATTCCGTTGATAACTTCAACTGGATCGAAAGTTCCTTAAAAAAGCAAAATGGGTGAGAAATCTAAAGAATGCGGAAAAAAATATGTGATATTTCTAATGTATTTGAAAGAAACTGAATTTAAATCAATTGTATGACCTAGGCACCACTGTCAAAGAAATTACTTGATCGATGGAATAGTTTTCTAGTTTTGCAGGAGGATAACCATTAAGATCCCAGTCTATCCAATAGCAGTAAATTGATTTGCCAAACATTTTCGAGTATGAGTTTTGATGATGGAAAACCTGATCTACAAAGTTTTTTCAGAATGGGTGAGGATCAAAAGCTATTAGATTATGAATTCAGTCGAACCTATAATGTTAGTTTCCGACATCGAACTCAACTTGGTACCACACTCAAATGTTTGATGTTGTACTCTCGCGGTCTGACAGACGACTGACCTCGATCCCTGCCTTCTTCTCCTGAAGCCATCAGGAAATCCAACTTTTCCTTCATCTCTTTTATTTCGTTCTCTATTCTCATAAGTGTTTCCTTCATCGAAACTTTGATTTTTCCTGTAGGATCTAAGACAAATTTTACGAGTTATAGAGAAGTCACAATCCTTTTATGCCGATGCCTTGCGAAGGACAGTTCTTTGCTTTTTAGTTGGAAGGTTCCGAACCCCACCCCCAAAATTACAGTACAAGCAATTTTACAAAGGCAGTTACTATGAATTTCTGATGGCCAGTTGTGAAGTGCACACCACACTTAATGCATTGAAGGCAATGAACGCAGACCTTAGAGACTCTTCCAAAAATTGTTTAAATTAAAAAAAGTAAACCTCTTTAAGATAGGATGGTCGCTATGTCACATCCAAAACATATTGGCTAGAGCTTAATTTTCAAGTAATGAACACTTAACAATAAGCAGAATAAGTGTTATCTGTATTGTAACTCACCTTCATCCTTGCTTTCTCCCATTGGGGCTGTCAAAGTACAAAGCTTTTCCTTCACCTCTTTCAGTTCACTGTCCATCTTTGCAATTTTTTCAAGGGATCCTCCCGTGGTTTCTGACGTTTAGAATAACATTGGAATTTTTAGTCTGAGTGAGAGTCACTTTATTCATCAAAAGAAGAGTGAGACAATGAGATCCTTCCGTTTCCTCTATTGTTTGGTCTGAATTTAGACAACGCTCTAGAATCTTAAGGTCCTGCTTCATTGATGTTTGACGAAGAAACTCTGTCGGAGAGCTGATAGGAAGTTTGAATAAAGTATTTTGGTTAACTAGACTGTGTTAACTAATTAACGAAAAATAATAGTTGTGGTCTTACATCAGTACATTACCAAAATAGGCTGAATTGCCTGACAGCAAGCGAATACCGTCGCCAGGCTCAAGAGATGTGATATGAACCGAAAAGTCTGGTATCAGTATGGCCAATTTTTTGCTTTATTTTGCCCATACTACAAACTAACCTTGATCGGTGTTTTTTTCCTCTGAGGCCGTCAGACTACCAAGCTTTTCTTTTATCTCTTTCATTTCAAACTCTATCTTCTCGATTGTTTTCATTTCATTCTTTATCTTCTCAATCGTGTCTCTGAAGTTTCTCTCCACAATGGTTCTCACCTTTTCCAGCGACACTAGAAATATACCAGAGTTGTGCAAAATTTCATGGGCACATTTTACAGTTTTAGGTCTTAATTTGATGCCAATGAAACAGTTCACCAATCTCAATCCTAGGTCGTTCTCGAATTTCGGTCGTGTTAATTAAAAGAAATAAAATAAGACATAGCTGCTTGTAGCTAAGGGATTTCCCTCCAAGTTTTGAACTCGTTATTTCACTAGTTCGCTACGCTCACTCATGAGCGTAGCGAACTAGTGAAATCACACAATTACTCTCCAGCAGTCTGCTACATGCCAATGAATACACAACAATGCTAACAATGAAAAGACAGCATACTTACGGGAATTTGGATCAATTTGTTTGTTTCCTCCAATGGTTCTAAGCGCGTTTCTTAAGGGTGTGAGGTCTGACACAGACGCACCGTAATAACTCTTTACATTCTAAATCTAAATGTCTAATCTGCAAAGAGCAGTACAGCCCATCTTCAGCAGACATAATTCCTATCCATTCCACCCCAGGGGAGGACATCCACCACATGTCTCCTTACCCCTAACCCTGCGAGAAGACTAAAATATCTATCCATTTCTTGATATTATTGAAAGGTAGCAAATTCTCCTTAATTATTTTAAGACCATGAGTATTGGTCTGGCCGGGGCTCGAACCCTCGACCTCCCGCACATCACAATCCGGCGCTCTAACCAACTGAGCTAACCGGGAGGCGGTTCCTAACCGGGAGGCAGTTCAATTCTTCATTTTTCACACATAACGCTAGTATAACATTCCACATAATGTGACTTGTTGCAACAAAAATGTATACATCAAGAGCTGTCTCACCCTGCTGTCTGAAAAAATAAAATATTGATATGTAATTTGATAACCTTCTGACTCGTGCATATGGCACTGCACAATGTTTTCTGTACCTTCAATCTCTTCAAGTTTGTCCTTGATGCTATCGTCATCTTTCTTCCATTGTTTCATCAGCTGGCGATAATGCTCTTCGATATCCGGATCCATGCAATCGTGTTCAAGAATGTCGATATCTGCTCGAAAATGAGCCCCACCCAGCCGCACCAGTGCCTCTCGTATTTCCAGCCAGTAAGCACTGAAGCTAACGTCATCCACAGCAGCCTGAGAGGCATGGCCGTATATAGCGTTCCTGTAATACTTCACTCTAGCGATGTCATCTGCGATGCTTCTGTTTGTAGCTGGGGGAAGATGATCCCATCCCGTGGCAGGAGGGCTCAGGCCACAGATATTTCTCAGAAGCACCGTTAAAAGTGTGATATCGAAGGTTTCCGACGAAACAGGTGAATGAGCTGGATACAACTTCCCCCATTGTGTGGGATTTAGCACTTTCTTCCTCCCTTTGTACAGTGACTGTAATGTGGAGTAATGCACAGATGTACTTCCCAAGACTGTGTGTAGAGTCGCTGGTGGATGTACATTGTCAAAAGTGGACCGCAATACCTGTGATCCAACATCCACGAGGAGGCGGCAGAGCCTAGCATAGTTGGTAGTCTCTTTTGTAGACGTAAAAGGCGCTGTACCCGTAGCCATAAAGCTGTCTTTACCAGGGTAACCTGTCAAACGTGGAATTGACATTACTTACTGTTAACCAAAACCGTTTGAAGAGAAGAAAACAAAGCTCCCGAGAGCCAACTGAGACCGAGAGTGGTTCCAAATTATGATGTCATTTTATAGGTCGTTTCGAGCACAGAACACCATCGAAAGAGAACTATTTTTTCGACTTAATAAGAGGTTTGATCAGAGATATCTCATCTAAACACATTCCCCAGTGCAAGGAAAAGTCTAACAACAATTCCACCACCTGAATTGAAACAAAAGCCACACCCTTTTCTACTACTTCATGCAACCCCACTAAGATCTGACCATTGCCAGCGTAACAATTAGGCCTTAAGCTAAAAACCTCCATAACTCCACCATGATCCTGGGGCAAAGACAAAAATATAAACTAGAGTGCAACATAGAAGCGAGCAAGCGGAACCTCTATCCCTGCTAAGATTATTGCACCTGAACTCAGTCATTGGAAGCACAAGTTGCAGAAGCATGGTCAATCGCCACCCCAACATAGAAAATCAATGCAACTACACTATGTTAGGAGAACTGTCATCAATAAGGTAGTCGGTGTTTAACCAGGTCAGCCAATAGAACAATTCCATGACTACACTAGGAACTACCATCTAAACAACAACTTGAGAAAGATATTCTTTCAGGTTATTGTGTTCACAACCATCACTGAATAGTAGCCTGTGGAATGTGGCAATTAAAGTGCATGTAGTAGTATTCTTAATTTGGTATCCCAGTTCATTGACCACTGGAACAATAGAGTGCAAGTAACAGGCTAAACAGGCTGTAATATTACCACCTCCTTAAAAAGAATGTTTCCACTCACAAAAATGTGTCTAACAGCAAAACTCACCACTTGTGGTTACATTTAAAAGGGCAAAGAAATTCAACAACCAACCTTATTCCACATGCAGTATCCAAAGACAAGAGAAGTAACCGCCATCTGCAACTGAACCTGCAATGACACAGCTACTTATATACAAAGTCACTAGCAGGTAACAAAACTGCACAAGCATCATCCATGACCACTCATTACTATGAGGCTCACCAACAACCTTATGATCTATCTAACCATGTGATACACAGCATAACTGACGCTTATTTTTGCCTCTCCAATTGGTGTCCTAGTACATTAATCCCAACATCATCAAGGCCCCGCTCAAAAGATGAAAAATTCTCTTATACACCACCACTTGGGAACATTTACTAAATCTACCAGTAAGAAATTCTGACTACTATAACAAGGATATAAGTGTAGCAATCCTATCAATTTTTCACCAATATCAAAGCCATATTTCCTAGCTTCCTCTAACGAATATATACAGCAGAATAAACATCTAGTCACAGCCAGCAGGGGCGGAAGTGCAAATAAACCTGCCATTCTCCATAACATTAGGAAGATCCATTTATAAAAAAAATAAATCTGTACAATTGCATGATCAGACTGAGCATATATTCCTTAACGGCCACTCTTAGAATGACCAAAGTAGTTGTTAGGATAATAGTTATTAGCAAAGTTTTGAGGCATCATTGATCCTCACTCACACAAGGACAAACCCAATAATAATAATGTTGAAACTACATTGTGGTGGGTGTTGAACTAGTTTGATGGTCATCCACAATCACTAACACCATGTCACTTGGGGATTATATCTCCTTTCTGATAATGTATTCAAGTATTATCAGATCAACCACGAGCAAAAGTCCTCCAGCTTGACATCAGGTTTTCCTACGACTTCACCAAAACACTGAACGCCATACAAATCTGCAGAACACTAGCCTGTCGCGCAGGCAGTTTTGGTAGTTTTCATCTTTCGAGTGTTTAGCCGCCATGTTGGATTCGCTGCAGACTGGAAGAATTGGGGCGAAAATGCGAGAATGTCGGAGTGGGTGGTGGGATGTGGAAGAAAATTTTTCTTTCCACTCCCCCTCCCTCATCCACAATTTTTCTCTCTCCCTTCCACTAGCTTGGTAAATTTTTTACCTCGCCCCAACTCTCCACTGTTTTTCTAATTTAAGATGGCGGCCTGAACGGAATATCCACTCGCCCCGCCAAAATCCGCCTGCACTGCAGGCTAGCAAAACACAGGCCATATGTCAATTGCACCTGAGAGGAACAATCTCTGCAAGCCTTAATGCAACTGCTTAATTCAACCAGTAAACCCAAAAAGCTTGAAAAAAATCTTTTTAAGCCACATTCCTACAATGATTACAACAGCCAGGCAAACAAAAGGGTTCTTTGAAAGCCAAGGTAGGATCAACTCCGCAAAGCCTATGACGGACAGCGTGAATATACTAATTTCCAAAGACAAGTATGGTGTCTTGTACTATGTAACAAGGAATGAGGCAGAGCAATAAGTAGGGATTGAAAAATATATATGAAGAGCACATGGTTGACTTGTTTGAGTGCATTTGTGTTATTTTATCGGTTATTTACGTCGTGAGAGAACGCAACCTTGGCAACAACATAAGCACGGCATGAGGACAACATAGAGACAGCATAAGTTTGGTAAAACCTGTCTTCGAACGAAAATGGAGCTTCAAATACATTTCCTAAGTTCAATTGTCAGTCAGAGGCTGCCACGTTGGGACTACAATGGAAGCAGTGGCTAACAAGCCCATAATATGTGGTCGCTAACCCACAGTATATGAGCTCCTACAAAATGAACGGCTCAAAGATATTTAGCATGGTAAATCTAAAGAGGAGAAACCACTAGCTGGAACTAAGCCAAGAGCCGCATAAGATCACCACCTTCGTGACACATAAAGGGCTGCACAGATACAACAGCTGATACAGCTCGGCAAGTGAGTTGTATCAACTTGAGATATCTACCGCTCTATCTGAAATAGAGGGAGTCGACAATTTCTGTGATGATAGCATTGCGCATGGCCCAAATCAGGCGACTCACTACCATGGAACACCTATTTAATTTAATTTATTAGATTCGCCGACAGGCGGGGACACCGCAACACTTTGCGCCAATTACTGCGGGCCC